AGTAGGTGCTCTAGACCACTGAGCCATCCCTCCAGCCCCTCCCCATCTAATTTTTAATATGCATATTATCTATATTGAGAGATGGACTCACATTGAAATATTAATTTTCAAAAATATATTCATTTTACATGCACACACAATAATTCAAAACTATGAAATCTATGGAATCATCTCCAGATTCCATAATGGAGAAGAAATATTGTACCCGGGCCTACCGTGCTGGCCTCGCCCCTCAGGGTGCCCTGAGACAGCAATTGAGACTGGGTGTGGTGGCGCATTCCTGCAATCCCAGCTCTTGGGAGGCTGTAAACAGGCAGATCACTATGTGTCTGATCTAGTAGTGAGACCCTGAACACTCTGTAGACCCTTCCCTAAAAAAAAAAAAAAGAAAAGAAAAAACGAAATATTGTATATGGTGATATTAATAGTAAAATAATACAGTTCTAAATACATGACTTGTAAAAAGAATAGTAAAATCTGAGAATGAAATATAATGAACTTTAATTGAACAGGAATGACAATAAAAGAATAAAGAGGAAATATTGCAAGAAAATGTATGAAGATGTGTAACGTGAAAGCACCTGTTTGTTGGCCAAGACAGGCTAAGATTAGTACACTCAAAAAGTAGGAAAAGATGGATTACACATTGCAAAGTAGGGTAGCTACACGTCTGAATCACTCTTTATAACTGCCAAGAATTTCTTTTGGAACATCTGGCAATTTATGACTAATTATAAAAGGCCATAAGAGATATTTCTCTAACTTTGCAGAGTAGGAAATTGCCTTCCATTAAGTTTCTAAGTTCACTTTCTCAGTCACTCTTGTTAGCTTGAAAATTTAGGTGACAGTCCATTATTCAACTGGGCAATCTCTAATTGTTCTTTTCCCATTTGTGATCAGCTTGTTAGTAAAGATTTAGAATTATATTGGAATTGTACTCTATATAACTGAAGATGATGTGTATGATAGTACTGGCTCTATTTTGAGGTAAAGTTTCACTTGATTTTAGATTGAAATGACATTCCCAACAAGGAGCTTTATGTTACAGATAATAGCTAGAGCTTTATATAATGTAAAGTCTATTGACCAAACATTCCTTGGAGACCATCTCATAGAACTCCTTTTGGTTTAACAAAGCCTAAGTTTGTTGCTGTTTATTGCTTAATACAAAGTAGGTCTTCACTGTAGCCTTTTTCTTTTCATTGCATATGCACAACCATTTTTAAATTCCAAGATCTTTTCAATATTTTGAAAGTGGAGGATTTCTTTAGTTCCTCCCATCTCATTGCTTTGTTGATAAATTATATAGGCAGGTAAAGTAAACAAATCACTTGTAGTAAAATATGATAGCAGTTAAAGTTATATGAATAACTGTTTGGAAGACAGTGCTATTCTTTACAACAAATGCTATAAAATTCATGTTACTTTGTTAAGTAAAATTCTGTATCACTTGTAATTTCTATTTTAATACTGTTTTGTACTCTTTAAAAATAATTTTTTAAAAAGTTGTGTATTATAACTTCTATAAAAATATATTTGACAAAGTTGATAGTACTAAGTATAGTGTTAGACTCTGAGCATTAAGCAGTATTGCTAAGCTGTAAGAAATGCAAATATAAATTGCATTTTGTTCTAGTAATGACTAGATTTAGCTTAAGTGGAAAAGATCCTGCGTAAAATATTTACCCAGGAGGAAATGCTAACGCATTACTGAATATATACATTTAGGATTGATATTTTCCAAAAATTAGGTAAAAGCTTTGAACAAAAAGCACTCTTCCAGGGGCAAAAAAATCTATTTTTTTCCTGGAGACCAAAATCTTCAGTTGTTTTGTAAAGCAGATGACATGTAAGCCCAAGGCAGTGCTTAACCCATAAATTACAGCAGGGTCACATTTTGGAAACTTTAGCTATTTTATGTCCCAGTGGGATAGTCTTTGGTTTTCTTACCAAAAGGCTTATGTGTTGACTCATTTCCTTTACCAATATGACAATTTCCTGCACACATTTAATGCTTCAAGCAAGATTAGAATATGTTAACTGAAATGTTTTTTACTAAGGTCTTTTTCATTGGGAATCTTAAAATTTTAGCTCACTTATAGCCTCGCTTATTATCACCCACAAATAATATGTGGGTTGTTATCTGCATGAGTTGTTCTTGTTCATTTTAGTGTACAATGTACAATATTAGTTTCCCATAATTTGAATTTTTTTAACTATTCTGGCATCTTTAACCATAATTTGTTTATTGCCACACTAGAACATTGAGTGAAACCTAGTTTATGTCTCTCTCTCCCCCCTCCCACTCCCTGTCCCTTTTCCCACTCCTTTTTTTGTACTAACCAGAACATGTTTTTAAATTGTGAACGGTACTTGAGCATTAGCTATTGATAGAATGTATTTGTATGACTAACTTATGGCCTTTTTTACTAATGCTTCATGGCTGTCCTACAACCTTTAGGACGCTGCATTGGGATACAGATCCATCAGTTCTTCAGCTTCACTCAGATTCCGATTTGGGGTATTGAATAGATTTATTACCTTCCCTCCTCTATAATTAATATGATTCTTTGTGAAATTGTCCTATTTTACTTGGCTTAAGTTTCTAATATAGTTTATAATTAGAAAAGACTTCTGTTTTACTGTGACACCTCATTTATCCTTTATCATTAATGAAATACTTTTTGTGTGTGATCTCCTACTGTAAGGCAACTCATTTAGGTGCCCGGATTATTTTTATTATTTCTATATTATTTGACATAAATTTTTCCAAGATGTACTAAAATCTTCCCAAACTTTTCCTAATACATGCTTAACATGTAAGTGAAACTTCTAAATTACTTAATATAAGAATTAATTTTCCTATGTTAAAATTTGCTTATGAGTCTAAAGTATTCAGAGGAACAGAGATGTTGGTCTCTATGACCCCAGGTTGCTGTTTATTCATTGGCTTGCTTATTTATATATTTATTCAGTCAGTCAGTCTAGGCTCTGATGCAAATAATAAATATTTGGTACTAACTGTGTACCTGGCTCATATACCTCCTTTCCTCTGACAATTTGCAGTTTCTAAAATATGTAGCCATAAATTTTTGTGTCTAAAAATCAACAATAAATAAGCCTTAAATTAAGTCGTGTAAGAAAAGCACATGGGCATCTCACACACTAACAAGAAGCCCTGAACATCCTAAGGCTTCTTTCTCCTGTCAAGTGGCTTGTAGATAAGTGAGGTATTACCTTTTTACACTCATGCTCTTACAAAATCTTGGAGTATTTCATGTGTTTTAATGAGTTTTTAATTATTATACATTATTATGCATTCAAGTTGATAACTTATTCCTAATGCTATTGGCTTCACAATTTTCTCCAGATATATGACTGATTTTCTATATAGTTTACATCTTAAAAACTCAAAATCTAAAGTTCTTATTTCAAAATTTGTTTTCAGGATATTCTAGATTATTTCGAATGCACTTAAAATTTCCATTTATTTCTTTGGTTATGCCTTTTTTTCCTCCTCCTTCTTTAAAGGCTACTATTCCTAATCTAGAAAATATATTTACATTTTCTTATGACCCATACTACAGAAATTGGAGCAAGTTAATTTTTGAACTTACTAATTCCTTTATATTCTTTTGTATAGGATTTGAATTTAGCTACAAATAAAATGGGAAAAAGTTTGAATTTTTTTTAAAGTATATTACCAGTTTCATATATTTGGGAAGTTGCAACAATGTCTTTATTGGATATCCTTTTTATATTGTTACATAATTGAGCACTTTGGCAGTTTGGGAACATATTTTAGCTTATTATCTAAATAGCTAATAATATTATAAGTAAAAATCCCCCAGATAGCTAATTTTTCTTTTGGTTCCTTTTTCTGAGCTGAAACTCTCATCTTCCATTTGTCAAAAAATAATGTATTTCTTCCATCTTAGTAAAACAGAAATAGTTTTGGTAGTTCCATCATACTCAGAAAGATCTGTTGCTTTAGTGTTTGTTAGAGCATCTGGATCTGAGTTTGTCCACTGTGAAACAAGGACAGTATTGACTTTGTAGAGTTTAAAGACTTAAAAGTTTTAACATTTCATTTTGAAATTCAGATTGACAGTGTGATTCTCAGTTTCTACCAAATGTAAAAAGTGAAATAAGGCTCTCAACAGAAACCTAGTTCTCAATCTTAGTCTTCTAATGATGAATAGAATTAAACATGATCTAATATACATGTATCTAAAATCTAGAATCATATCCCACCTAAAAACACTTGTAACTAATCTTATTCAGCATTTTATTCTGAAATTCCTGTTTTCTTACTCTATTATGGTTCATGCTTTTGCTCTCAGAAATGAAATTGTTTGCCTTTTTAAAGTGAAAAAAAGTGCTTCGCAGCACGTATGCTAAAATGAAAAATAAATACCCAAAATGATTCAGAGATATGTTTTTGCTACCTTTTGATCCTTTTATTAAAGCTAATTTATTATTCATATGAAATTTGATGAAACAGGTTTAAATTACAATGTTCAGTATGTCTGAATGTTTTATTCTTAATTTTCAAAAATAACAAGGTTTGATATAGTTAAATTGTATCATTTGTTGTATTGAAAAACATTTGTTCCACTTAATCTAGACGGGGACCTATTAAGCTTGGAATGGCCAAAATTACACAAGTTGACTTTCCTCCTCGAGAAATCGTCACATATACCAAGGAAACTCAGACTCCAGTGATGGCCCAACCCAAAGAAGGTAACTATTCTCATTTGTCATTGAGACCCCACATTAAGTAAGTGGAGTCTTTGGGGTTGGTGTATCTATCTTTATGTCTTTTTTGGGGGGTGGGAGTCAATAATACAAAACTTACGCTTTCCTATTTATATCTTTTTTTTCTTTGTTTTGAAGGATTTTAAATGTCTTTTAAAAGCTGTGTAAAGCTATATGTTTGGGTTTTTTGGTTAACATAAATTTAGGTCTCTCTGTCTCTATTTTGTCACTGATATATAATTTCTTTAAAAATGTAAAAGATTAAGAATGTTCTGTTCCTGTCATTGAGTATAATTCTTCCCAAGAGAGATTGTCTCATAGCAAAAAAAGTCAAGTAAATTATTTTCTGTAGAGCATAATACATTCTGATACGCTGTCATTATTCATACTAATGAACAAATCTAGACCTAATTATTAAACTTCCTCTCTTATGATCTATGGTTTCTACAATGTAGATTATTTAGTAGCTTTTAATCTATATATAATTAGTTTAAGTATGCAAGGCATTATATTGAATGTGAAGTCCTCTGCTTCTTAAACCAGAATCATTATTTTTAAACTGAAGATTAATATTTTGAAGATTAATTTTAAGTACTAATCAATAGCTAATGGTCCAAGCATAAAGTCATATGATTATTTTTTAAACCAGTGAGGCTAATGAATTTGTGTTATGCATAAAAGAAGTTTACATGAGCTCTCTAATATAAGTTCACAATTTTTTTTGTAAGATTTTTGGGGCTACCTGTATATTAGACTATGGAATTTTTCAAATTTTAGAAAGTAGTTTTTATACTGCAGGTTAACATTTCAGCAGCATCTCAGGCATTAATATTTTGGCAGCAAATCATTAAAATGTACTAAGTGAGATAAATAATAGTTATAAGTAGCTTTATCTCTGATCATGCCAGGGTTTACCACCAAATGAGTTATGAATTTTAGAACTGTTGACAATTTTGGAATTATGGGTAAGGTATTATGAGATCAAAATAAATTATCATTCTATTAGTTTGTGCATAAGGCACTTTTTTTCAATCTGTTCAGGGAAATCTCTTCCTATTTAGTTACAGAAAATCAGTATAAAAATTTTATCAAATGTTAAATTAATTTATCTATAGAATTTCAGTTGAATTCTGTGTTTCTCTGCTGAGGGAAGACAGAAATAATACTGTATTCATTACAGAAAGCCACAAAGATACAGGTAAGCAAAAGAGTGGAAGTGAGCAGATCCTTAAAATCCCTATTACCAAAAAGGTTTAAATTTTCATATTTGTGTTTATCTCAAAAGAATTAGTGCTAGCTGTTTATCTTTTGACATAACAATTGGTCATCAGATGCACTTTTAACAGCTCTTTTTTTTAGTTCTCTAAAGATGGAAATGAAATAAGTATCATACATTTCCGTGCTCTTTTTCACAAAAGGAGTTAACATTATCAGACATATAATGCTTTGAATTTTTTGAGGAAATTATAGTAATATTTTTATCCAGAAATTTTTTATTGACCACATAAATGTTTATTTCTATGGATATAATTTTTCATTCCTACTGCTCCACTGGTTGCTAAAATAGCTTTTGTAAAAGTGCAAAATTCTCTGGTACCAGTGATCTGCGCTTCCCAGGCAGGTGCTTATGCCACTAAGCTATCTCCTTGGCCCACAGAAACAGTGGTGGTAAACTTCTTTGAAAAATAAGCAGGTTTTTGTTTTTTTTTTTTAAATAAGCAGTTTTTGAAAAGGAAAAATGGTGTGGAATTATCGGTGTAGAAAATACTAAATTGGTAGGATTCCATAACTTCAGAAACATTTCATTAACTAGTACATTAATTTTAGCATTATAATGTCTACCTTCTTGGAGCTACAGTGTTAGATAGGTTAACTCACAGAGTAAGCAAAATAACCAAAACAAGGGCACAGTGACTCATTTAAAAATAAATTAGCCTTTTTATTTGATAATATGGAGAGTATTTTTAGTTAGTCCATACTTCTTATGAAATGCATTTTCAATGTTTGAAGTGTAAAGCACTCAAACTATTTTGGATAGTGCCTATTAAAATATAGGTATAAGTATAATTAAGTGAAAACATTTTATAATAATTTTTTCTAATATACTGTTTACATGGAGAATTTAGAAAGTATATAAACAAAACAAAAAGAGGAAAATGATGTGGCAGCACTGTGTATTAATATGTTGCTTCAAATAAATATATCCTATTTTCTAATGATACATTTTTCAGAAATTCTGTATTTATGTTTGTACATACACTGATACATGGGTCTTTGTATTACTTAAAATTTGCATTTTAACTTATTTTTTAATGTGCTTATGTATTTTAAAATGTGACCATGTAACTTATTTCCTTTGGAGTAATTTGAATATATAACTGGTATAAAACTGGCATTTTTCAAAAATTTAATTTTTTCACTTTTATTTTACAAGTAATTTTAAAAATAAAAACCAGAATTTGTTACATAAGGTGACAACCCACAGGTACAAGATAAACTGTGTTCTCTCAGTTTGAAATTATTCAGGGCAAGGCTTTTAGTATCATTATACTTCAGCTTCTTTGCCAAATTTTCATAACCATAACTGTTTCCTCCTTACTATGATGCCTGGCTTGAGCAGTGTCTAGCATGTAGCAAGTACTCAAATATTGGTGAAGGAGTTAATTGCTGTTACCTGCTCAGGAGGATAATTTTGCCTACTTGGCATGTGTATTTTCCTGTTTAGCTCTGAAAGCAGCTACTGGAAAAATATATTCTTTTCCAGTGTTGATGCTACAATGTAACTAGTGATGCTGTTTGAATGAAAAATATGACTAATCCTGGTTCATGCTTTTAATTGTGACTATATCCTAATCATTATTTGCTTTTAGGTATAGAGATGAAACCATTATAAATTCTCTTTCATAGCCTTCTTGAATTCTGTGTTTATATCACTATGTAGTGCAAATATATGCTATTGTTTTTGTGTTCTCTGTATCCCTCCAAACACGATGAGCAAAATTGAACCTCTCAGCATCTTTTAAATATGTTATTTGAATTATTCACTTGTAACAGTTCTCTAAACTTAATATTTAAATTGATGACTGAAAATTATAACAGCAAATAGTACTTACTACATATCAGGCCTAGTGCATAGCACTTTATATTACCTGTTATTTCTCTTACCAAAGCCCTAAGAATTAAGTATTGGTTTTTATTTATGCATAAAGAAGCTGAACCTAAATATACAGTTTATCAAGGGTCACAAAACTAGTAGCTAAACCATGTGTGCCTGCTTCTAAGATGTGCTCTCTCTCATCCTGCCATGATGCAACGACTTCCATGCTTTTATAATAGTAATCTACAGTAAATAGTTCTATAGTGTAAATCGCTGCAGAACTATGACCGAGACAAAAGTTTTCTGAAACAACACCTCCATTCCTCAGATGTTGACCACAACACACTAAATTTATTGGTTCAGACTGTACTTTAAAAAATACTTCATTAAAGAAGAGGATGATTTGGTTAGCTCATTTATTGGTGTTTCCACATCAGGATTGTAATTATTTGTAGTGATAACCTCACAATAATGAATAAGCAATGGAAATCTTCCCAGTGTTGGAATTTTTCTTAACTGGCAGAAAAAGAAAGTTGACAGAATAGGTGGCCTGAGCCCAGCTTCTAATGGGTATGTCTATGTCAGCACTGCTGTCATGTTTTGAATTTTTCTTATACCTAAATGTTAATTTATAAGAGCCCATGTTTGTTTACTATATTTGCAGTCTAGCAAGCATTCATTGATTCCTTGAGTTTAAGTATAAATGAAGTTTATATGAAGTATATGTGAAATTTATATGAAGTTTATTGAATATAGATGAAGGTACTAGATTATCTTCTTTGGCTTTGTGGTCCTTTGTCGTGGGTTCAGGTACTTACGAAGAATGAGGCAGCAGCATAAGTACCTGCCTGGCAAGCACAAGGCCCTGAGTTCGGTCCTCAGTAACAAAAAATAAAAAAGAAGATTGAGAATGCAGTCCTGATACTATCAGACTGTTCTTAAGCCTTGCTACTACTTATAAAAATGAGATGATTTCCTTTCTGTATCATTACAATTTATTTCATGTCTCCAGATTTTTACAAAAATCTCTTTAACAAAGTTGTTAAAGTTTTAGAAAGTAGAGAGAAAACTTGAAATTAAGATTTTATAGGGGCCAGGGAGATAGCTCAGTAGAATATGCGCTTGCCTGGCAAGCAGAAGGGTCTGAGTTCCATCCCGGTTCTGCCAACAACAACAACAAAAAATTAATGCAGGCTCTTTATGCTTAACTGTACGTTGCTTTAATACAGTGGTTCTCAAACTCAACTTGATTGGCTCCTATTTAAGAGCTACGTAACAAGTGTGTAGTTCTGTGGTATACTGTTTGCCTAGAATTCATAAAGCCATGTGTTAGATCCAGCATCACAAAAAAGTTTTAAGAAATTTTAAATTATGGAACAAATTTTAAACCTCATCATGAGAAAAAATTGGAGAAATCACAATTGAAGTGTAACAGACAGTAAATTTAGACAGTATAATCAGTGAAGTAATGTGAGCTATCAAATTGAAGGTAAAAATTGGTAGTAAGTCTATCTTCCATTTTTTTAAAATGCCAGACCTATTCTCTTAAAAGGCAGTTTTCATTCTACCTTCCCCACCCCCAACCCCATTGTGGCCATCTACTTGCTTTCAAGTTTACTCCTAAGTTGGTAGTGCTGTTTCTGAGCTGAGGTGCTTTGCTGTCTTAAAGCACCTACTGTGAATGAAATTGACTAGGACCATGTGACCTCACTCAATTTCCCTCTCCACAGGTAAACAACTTCTGGCAAGAGTGATGTCCATAGATAGACTCCTGGAAGTTACTTTCTCCCCTTGCCTTTTAAAACTTTAACTCTTGAAAATGCTATTTTTTTCTTATTCCTCTTCAGTATGGATTTTTTTTTTTTTTTTTTTGGTAGGTGGGCATTTT